GATTTCTGCATGCTGGTTGATATTCTACATTAAAATGAATTTTCTTATTGCTTGTGGTTCTTTTTCCACATGATCTTTTGGATTTTCTGACATAATAATATCAACTGTGAAAGAGATAAGATTTACAGCTTCCTTTCCCATTGTTATGTCTCTATCTGAGTTTTCTTGTCTAATTGCATTGGCCATGACCTCCCACATAATGTTTGAAAGTAGTGGAAACAATGGGCCTCCTTTTCTTGGTCCTGACGTTAGAATGAAAGCTTCCATTATCTCCCTATTACATGAGATGTTGTACTTTGGGGTAATCTTATTAAGGAAATATCCTTCAAGTCCTATCTTATGGATTGTTTTTCACATAACTGTCAACTCCTAAATTCATAAATGGAAAAAAATGAGTCTCATTGTTTATCTTTAAAATATCTGTCAATGTGGAATGTGGCACATAATCATAATGCCATCCCCAGCAGGAGTATTTCAGAATTTTTATCATGGGTTGGCATTGTGGCACACCAGGTTGAGCCTCGGCCTGCAATGCCAGCATCCCATATGGGCACTGGTTCCAGTCCTGGCTAGTCTACTTCCCATCCAGCTCCCTGCTAATGTGCCTGGGAAAACAGCATAAGATGGTCCAAGTGCCTGGGCCTCTGCACCCATGTGGGAGACCAGGAAAAAACTCCTGGCTCCTGGCTTTGAGTTGGCTCAGGCCTGGCCATTGCAGCCATTTGTGGAGTGAAAAAATGGCTAGAAGATTCTCTCTCTCTCTCTCTCTCTCTCTGTAACTCTGCCTTTCAAACAAATAAAAACAAATCTTTTTTTTAAAAAAAGAATTTGTATCACAAGAAATTTACGATCCCAGTGGATGGGTGCCACATGTCACAGTTACAGCATAATTGAAAATGTTCTTTGATGTAGAGCAGGAACACTATAGTATTATGGGTCCCTGATTGAGAAAGATCTGGGTTTGAGTCCTAACTCTGCTACTAGGATCTTGGACAAATTTCTCGGTCTCTCAGAGCCTCCCTTTCCTTTTATGTAAAAGGGGATGATGATAGTAGCTACTTTAAGGATTCTTGTGAGACAATTTTCCTGGAAGCTTTCATTCAGGACTTAGCATATAATAAATGCTCATTAAATGGTAGATATCACCAGTACCAAAACAAGTAAAAGAAATAATAAATGCTGTGAAGAATCTCTGGCAGAAGAGGGCACTTGAGCCAGCCCTTTGAAAGCTGTAGGGCTTGAATTCAGAGAGGGTTGGGAAGTTGAGGAGGGAAGAAGCAGTTTCTAGGCCCGGTATTGTGGTGCAGTGGGTTATCCGAGCGCAGGTTTGAATGCTGGCTGCCCTGCTTGTGATCTGGCTTCCTGCTAATATCTGTGGGCAGGCAGCAGAGGATGGCCCAAGTCCCTGGGCCCCTGCCACCCATGTGGGAGACCAGGATGGAGTTCCTGGCTCCTGGCTTCAGCCTGGCCCAACCCTGGCTGTTGAGGCCATTTGGGAAGTGAACCAGTGGATGGAAGCTCTCTCTGTCTCTCCTTCTTTGTCTGATACTTTGCCTTTCAAATAAATAAATTAGTAAATCTTATTCTTTTATTTTAAAGCAGAGTTTCCAAGTAAGAGGAGAAAGATCTTTAAAATTTAAAAGGTCATGCTAAAACAGTGGTTCACTTTAATTTGTGTTTTTAAAAAAGTCCAACTGACTTTTGAAACCATCATTATTTAAAATTTGATATGTTCTCCTCATATACCATTTGCAGAATTCTTGAATATGAATAGCATGTATTATTATGCATATGAGAGAAAAGCATTTGGAATCGAATTCCATGCTATCTATCTTTAAGGCCCCTACTGGCTTCTCCATGCCCCATAGTTTTTGCCTAGCTGCTACTTTGCATTTTAATTTGACCCTGCCTTTTTTTTATTTGCACTTATTACCAGATTGCTTTTTAAAATTAAATATTTTTGTGTGTTCCCTATTCAGTATTTGATGACTGTTTATTACTATAATTCATTGTTCAGAATAATGTACCACATCCTGCATCCATCATTGCACTCCATTCTCCATGGGGTCTAAACCATTTCAGAGTCATTAAATGAATGTGCAATTTGGGAATTAAATGAATGGAAAAGGAAGAGAATGGGCATCCAAAGGAGGTGAGGAGGTGAAGGAGGCAGCGGTGGGTTTACGCAGGGCACAGCTTCCCTTGCCAACGCTTCGTTAAAATCCTCAAACTTTCCCTGCCCCCCTACTCCACACCCCACGCACCTAATCGAGTGGAAACTTGCATCGATCTCTTCCAGGCCGACGCTGGGGTGGGAAACTGTGAACAAACATCTGTGCAGCACCCAAGAAGACCCCGAGTCCAGACTTTAGATGCCAGTAGTCTACTTAGGAGAGGATCCTGGGAAACACCAGTAGGGGGAAGGGAGAAGCGAAACAGGAAGGAGAAGGAAGCTAGTGATGGATGTTATTGTCAAGCACTATAAAGCGTGACTCGTTCATTGAAAATATTAAAAATAAGGGCCAGCGTTGTGGCACAGCAGGTTAAACCACCACTTGCAGTGCCAGTTCCCCATATCAGAGTGCGAATCTGCACCGCTTCCAGTCCAGCTCCCTGCTAATGGCCTGGGAAGGCCGCAGAAGATGGCCCAAGTACTTGGGCCTTTGCCACCCACATGGGAGACCTGGATGCAACCATTCTGGGCTCCTGGCTGCGGCCTGGCCCCAACCTGACTCTTGCATCCATTTGGAAGATCTCTCTGGGTCTGTCCCTTTCTCTCTGTCTTTGATGTAAATCTTAAAAAAAAAAAAAAAAAAAAAAAAAAAACATGTGGGCTATAGTAGAGATCTCAAGCAGAGGGGATTTTAATCCAGACAACTGGTTACAAAGGTGTTGGGAGGGTTAAAGGAGTAAAAGGGGCAAGTGTGAGTCAGGCACAAGGGAATTGCTACCATCACCTGTGGGGTGCACGATTGGGCCACTGACCCAGGCAGTGGAAGAGGGCTGCAGGGAGGAGCTAATCTCCATTCCAGAGCTTTGCAGCCGTCCCACCTAAGGGTCTGAGGAAGGAACTGTGTAGCTGCTGTCGGTTCCGACCCCCTCGGAAGAGCAGAAACAGGTAGAGGAAGTGTGCTGTAATCTGATCCGTCCTCAGTGAAGCCTCCCTCACTTGTGAACCTGGGACTGTCCAGGGGAGTGGTCATCTCTTTCCTCACAGGTTCATCATTTCAACTCAGAGGTAGACAGGCCGGTGTTGTGCAGCAAATGCAGACACTGCTTGCGACGCTGGCATTGCATATCGGAGCGCCGGTTGGTTCGAGTCCCAGCTGCTCCACTTATGATCCAGCTCCCTGCTGACGTCCCTGGGAAAGCAGTAGAGATGGCCCAAATACTTGGACCCCTGCACCCACATGGGAGACCCTGATGAAGCTCCTGGCTCCTAGCCATTTGGGAAGCGATCCAGCGGAATGGAAGATCTCTCTTTGTTGCTCCTTCTCTCTGCCTTCAACTAAATAAATAATTTAAAAAATTTTTAAATTTATTTGAGAGTTACAGACAGTGAGAGAGAGAGACAGAGGTTCACCCCCTAAATGGCTACTATGGCTGGCGCGCTGCGCCGATCCGAAGCCAGGAGCCAGGTGCTTCCTCCTGGTCTCCCATGCGGGTACAGGGGCCCAAGCACTTGGGCCATCCTCCACTGCCCTCCCGGGCCACAGCAGAGAGCTGGACTGGAAGAGGAGCTGCTGGGACTAGAACCGGCACCCATATGGGATGCCGGTGCCGCAGGCGGAGGATTAACCAAGTGAGCCACGGCACCAGCCCCAACAAATAATTTTTTAAAAAATAAAAGGTGGGGAGAAAAGTGACAAATAGGAATACAGCACCACAACCCCAACCTACTGAGAGCATAGGTTCAAACCGTGTAGGAATTTAGACCACAAGAATGTATTCTTTACCCGCCCCCTTCACTGTGTCTGAGCTTGAGAAAGCTGGAATTTATGGAATGAATCCGGGCTGTGGAGAAAGCCAGCCCTGATCCCAAGCAATTTGTTAACCAATTACCCAGTCTGCTTATCTCCACATAGTTTTGCTCATCAGATAATAGATAGTGCTTTCTCTGACACTGCTCATCTTGGACATGCCTTTGTGGAACCAGTGGTTTCACTAACGCTGGGATAGGGAAAACAGAAGGAGGTGTGGTTGCTCTGGCATTGAGAGCAGAGGTCATTTTCCCTCTCTGCTGGCTGCTGCCCCAGCCTCAACCACAGGCCACAGAACCCAACGAGATCATGCAGAGACTGGAGCAGTGTGTGACCAAGGCAACCCTCTCTGTCTTTGGCATACACGATCTTTGAAATAAATGAAAGGGAAGAGATCTGAATGCCTTGTCCAACCAAAAATTTCCCACCCTGGTTTGTCCTGAGAGAGAGAAAAATAAAAAAGGCATGCATTTGTTTGGCAGTGTCTTTTGTCTACCTGGAATTGATTTTTGTGTGTACCATGAGATAGGAGTCCAAGTTATATTTTTTCCTTTTACACAGAGATATCTGCTTGTCTCAGACAATTTATTGAAAAATGCATCTGTTTCCACTGATCGGGAACACCGCCTCTGCTGTAGATCATGTCCGTGGTTGTGCAAGCCTGCTTCTAGACTTTCTATTCTGTTCCCTGGCCGCTTCGTTGCCAGTCCACTGCCATACTGCATTAATCACTGTACCGTTACACTGGCTTCTTATCTGCTAGGGCAGTTCTGGAGTTTTCTTTTTGTCTTCAGGAGTAACTTGAATATTCTTGTCCATTTGCAGCCCCGTATGAATTGTAAAATCAGCTTTTCGAGTTTCACAAAAATGTCTCTTGGGGTTTTCATTGTGTTTGCATTAAATCTTTCGATCATCTTGGGGGAGAAATGACATTTTATTTTTGCCCATAATCAAAACTTTATTGAAAAACTGACATCGAAATAGGAGATAACTTGTATACCTTATAAAATCAAATGAGATTACATTCTCTTAGTAGATTCACTCTAATCACTGAACTTAACGATAAGGCTTTCGGTGAGAAAACACAAATCCAGGAAGTTGTGTGGGGCACTAGTGTTGTTTGCTTCTAAAGGAACAGCTTTCTGTGAGTCGGGCCTTTCCTACTGTAGGCTGGCACAAAACTGTAGAACCACCTACACAAAAACTCAGTGTCCGAGCATGGCTGAAAACCATGGTGATCTTGTAGCAACCCAAGCATTTTACATCCATAAAATAAGAATTCGGACTTTGAACTAGCCTTTTTTTTTTTTTTTTTTTAATGTTTCTTTTTTTCCTCCTGCAAGGAGGGATGGAGTAAATCTCTAGCCAAGAGCATGTTGGCAGTCCGTGAGCCTGGCACCTCTGACTTTCTCTGGCTACTGCCCTAGCGACCAGAAATGGCATCTTTACAATATTATTCTTCTAATCCATGAGCGTAATATTTCCTCAATTCAGTTAGATCTTTAAAATCTCCTAATAAACTTTTATAACTTTTCCATAGAAAATGAAAACATTCTATTTTTTAAATGTTTCCTGAACTTGAAGTATACTTCTTTTTCACCTTTATATTAAGGGAATACTTTTTAAAATAGAATTCTAATTTTTTTTAAATTTCCTTTCATTTTATTTGAATGGTAGAGAGAGAGAAATATCTTCCACCCACTGGTTCACTCCCCAAATGCCTGTAACAGCTGGGTCAGGGCCAGTCCAAAGCCAGGAGGCCAGAACTTGGTCTGGTCTCCCATGAGGATGGCAGGGAATCAAGTTCTTGAGCCATCACCTGCTGCCTCCCAGGGTGCATATTAGCAGGGGTTTAGGTCACAAGTGGAGTAGCTGGAATTGGAACCAGGCACTTGGCTATGGGATGTGGGTGTCCCAAGTGGCATCTTAACCACTGCCCCGATGCACATTCCAGGAATAACTTCTCTGAGTGGGATGTCGTGCTGTTTCACTCCACAAGGCAGCATTCACAATTTCAGTGATTGTGTTATAAACGACAGTGTGAATGAAGGTGCCGCCTATGGTTGACTGCTACGATGTTTATGTGGTTTGTCCCCCAGAGGTTCATGTACTGGAATCTTGGTCCCCAGCGTGGTGCTATTAAGAGGTGGAGTCCACTGGGAGGTGATTGGGTCACTAGGGGTATCCCCCTGGTTCAGGACTAAGTCGTTCTCATGGGACCCCCGTGTAGTCCTCTAAGAGTGAGTTGTTTTCTAGGAGAGCAATGTTGTTCTCTCCTCACTGTGGGGCCGCCTGTATCACCGTGTGATCTCTTCATCCTCTACATGTTCCTCCCATGATGCCATTCTCCATGAGGTCTCTGCCAGAGCTGGCACCATGCGGTTTGGGCTTTGAGCCTTCAAAACCTCTTTTCTTAAAGTTACCCAGCCCTTTTAACAATGGGAAACTGACTAATACGTTGGACAGCATGATAGTACCACCTGTAGTGTGCTAGCATCGTAGAAAGTGTCTCATGTTACACCTTCTACTTGACGACACCTTGAGCAAAGTTGTCTGTCTCTTGCATTCCTTGAGACAAGGAGTTTAAAGAATTAAGTAATTTTACTATATCAGTACTCCTTGCATTGCTATTTACTTATGGATATGAATATTTTTTCAATGCTTCCCTCTATAAAAATGAAAAATAAGAACTAATTGATATTAAGTATATCTCATTTTAGTCACTTTTGGATACATGGACTATTTTTAAAAGTCCATTTAATTTATTAAGTTATGTGTTTTACATAAAGTTTTAATAATTAATTTTTTAAATTCATATAACATTTGTGTTGTTTTGATCAATTGAACAGTTCTAATCATCATAATTATAATTTAATCTATAAGAATAACTATTTAACATGTACAGCCTTTTGGTCTCAGAAAATTAGACATTTATTTTAATTTTAAACATGCATATATATACATATATGTACACATATATATTTGTTCCAAAGAAATATGATAGGATGATTAATAAGATTTTCCAGCCTAAAAACATTAAATATATTATATTAGCATAGTATTCAGAGGGGAGGAGAAATGGAATTATCACTTCTAGGAGAGAAACGAATAATGTGATATATCCAGCTGTTAAAAGAAGGGCTTGTTCAAATTCTTTAAAAATGGACAATTGTGGATTTTAAATTACTACTGAACTTAGTATCCATTGGATACACTTGATAAAATCGTGTACATTTTACTTTAAAATGTTGATTTTAGTAACATGTTAGAAATTAGTTCCTGGGGCTGGCGCTGTGGCATAGCAGGTAAAGCCGCCGTCTGCAGTGCCGGCATACATAAGGGCACTGGTTCGAGTCCTGGCTGCTCCACTTCCGATCCAGCTCTCTGCTATGGCCTGGGAAAGCAGTAGAAGATGGCCCAAGTCCTTGGGCCCCTGCACCCACGTGGGAGACCCGGAAGAAGCTCTTGGCTCCTGGCTTTGGATCAGTGCAGCTCCGGCCGTTGCAGCCATCTGGAAAGTGAACCAGCCGATGGAAGACCTCTCTCTCTCTCTCTCTCTCTCTCTCTGTCTCTGTGTCTCTGTAACTCTGTCTTTCAAATAAATAAATCTTTTTAAGAAAAAGAAATTAGTTCCTGTGTTGGAAATTGCTGGCTGCCCACCAAAATCCATTCTCTCCATCATTGTAACTGAGATTTGGCTAAATTTCTTGGTCTCTCTTGAAACTAGAAGTGACCATAGGCATGATTGCTCATCAGCGGAATTTGAGCACAAGTAACGAGTACAAGTCTATTGTTTAAGAGACCATTTCTGACCCTGGGTGATCCTTCCTTCTCCTCTGCCACTGGCTAGCGTGGAAATGAAATCTCACGTTAAAGGCAGCAGATCTGTCGTAACCTGATTCCTTTCTGACTGGGTAGAGACCTAAAACACAGGGGCCTATGTTGTGGCTCAGCGGGTTAAGCCATGGCTTGCAACTGTGGTCCCCCATATCAGAGCACCGGTTCAAGTCCCAGTCACTCCACTTCCAATGCTGCTAATGTACCTAGGAAGGCAGCTGATGATGGCCCAAGTCCTGGGGCCCTGCCACCTCATCTCAAAGACCTAGATGGAGTTCCAAGCTCCTGGCAGACCAGACTGTTGTGGCCATTTGAGGAGTGAACCAGAGTCTGGAAAATCTCTTTCTCTCTCTCTCCTCTCTGTGTGTCACTCTGTCTTTCAAACAGATAAATAAATCTTTAAAAAAATGTTCTCTTAAAAAGCATGTGATATGACAGAAATAGATGTCTTTGTTTTTTAAGTCTCTATAATTTAAAGGGCTTCTTTGTGAAACCAGCAAGACCCTCCTTAATTAATACAGGAATTGGTACCATGAAAGGGAGGCACTGCTAGAACAAAAACCTACACTTTGCAGCATTTGCTTAATGGGCAGGCAGCAAGTGGTGAAGAAATAGTGAGCCCGAAGGGCTGGGAATTCTGAGAAAAGCGGTAGAGTTGTGACCTCTAGTAACTTGGAAGGCAGACCACTCACCTACTGAAAATGCCTTTAAAAATATTACACCTTCCTTAGGCATATGTTTGCAAAAACATACTGTATTTGAAAAAAAAAAAAAGTACAGAGCAGTAAGGCGTAGCTTTTATATTAGTGAGGGTTCACATTTTTCTGGAGGAATCGAGACACTGTCAGCATCAGGACCATGGGGAATCGCAGAGGCAATAGCGGAGCCTTACTAATGCGGCTTTACCAACCCTCTAGATGGCACAGAGGATGATAACAACAGCAAGAACCAGGTTGTGAACATCACCCGTCTCCCCAAATGGTTTTTTCCCAAACTTGTTCTTCATATGTGTTCATGGAGACTATGGACAAGGAAGAAAATCCAGAGAGCAAAGCCAAGACCTCAGAAAGACAATGAACAAGAGAATTCTCTCCATCCGCAGAACCAGGGACATTCAGATATTCTGGACATGTGACTTAATCTACAGCCAGAGCTGGGAGTCTTTGCATTACATGCAATATGGGCTTAACAATCTTTCTGGATCAATGACTATTCATTTCAAAATTTTCCTTTTTCCAAAAAGGACTTTCATTATGGTTATCCTATTCCCACATCACTATTGGCTGCTGGGTAGACAGAGGCAGACAACTTGTCTTCTAGTCTATAGATCTACAGACCTTGGGGAGTCACACTTACTAAAATCCATTTTTCCTTCCTCCATAACGATCCAGTCGTAACTAGGACGTGGCTGCTCAGCGTGGAACTACATTTCCTAGACTCCCGTGCGGCAAAGCCATGGTCATGTGACACAGATTTCTTCAATGGCGTGTGAGCTTCAGCTTCCCTTGCTTAAGGGGAAGTTGGGGGTTGAGCTGGCGTTGGACGCAATCAACTACGGTCTGCAAGCTTCCTGACGCCCCACCCACAGGCGTGAGTCAGGGACTGACATCTCGAGCTGAGCTGGAGTTTCACAGCCCCAGACAAACCGTGCTCTGGAATCCCTGGCCCTGGGATTCTGTGCTTTCTCCCTGCTAGCCGGAATAGTGACTAGTAGCATGATCTTAAAGCCACATGTTGGAGATGAAACGTGAAACCATTATATGAAAAAAAAAAAAAAATAAGCTTCCTTATTCTTTAAGCTCTTCAGTGTTTGAAATCTTTTTTTTTTTTTTTTTTTTTGTAGAACAAAACCTTTCACCATGACCAATACACATAATTTGTAATTGGTTAAATTTCTAGTAAAAAAAATTAGATAACTTCCAAATGTGTGAAAAGATTAATAGTTTTTTTTAAATTTACTTTTAAGGGAGTCACAAGCAAAAACATTATATCCCTGGAATAGTTTGTACTCAATATTCTCTCTTTCTTTACCTTCCATTAGCAACCTATTTTTTTCTTGCTCCCACCCCTCCAGAAAGAGAGGATGCAGGTTCCAAAGAAGTTGGTTGATACATCAATTATTTGCTCTACCCACAGCGACCTCTAAATATATCCAGTGTCTACTGACAGTTCCTTCTAAGGGGCCCTACTCTACCTTCAGCTATTGTTAAGAAAACTGCCTGGGGCCGGTGTTGTGGGTCAGTAGCATAAGCCACCACTTGCAACACCAGCATCCCATATCAGAGTGCCAGTTCATGCCCTGGCAGCTCTGCTCCCAACCTAGCTCCCTGCTGATGGCTTAGGAAAGCAGTGAAAGATGGCCTAAGTGCTACCTGGTGGGAGAATCGAATGGAATTCCCGAATCTTGGCTTCAGCCTGGCCCACCTTTGGCTGTTGTGGCCATTTGGGGGGTGAAGCAATGGATGGAAGTTTTCTCTCTTTCTGTCTCTCTCTCTCTCTGTCTCTCTCTCTCTCTCTCTTACTCTGCTTTTTAAATAAATAAATAAAT